ACTAAAGCAATCAAGTACAGGAAATGACACGTGACACGCTTTCAGTATGCCGTAGTTGTATGTTAGAAGCCGGGGTGACACTGCTTATACATCATACAAAAGACAGTCTGCATACAGATTTGAACGCGGGTCACCACGTGGCTATGAGTTCGAGGAGAAACTTGGCAAGCTGCATTCAAAACATGGATATTGCGATGACTCGTATTTGCAGACTGTCTTTTCTATGATGTATGAGCAGAGTGACTCCGTCTTTAGAGTCTTTGACTGTGCTCTGACCTAAGATGAGACAAACTATACTGTGAGTAGGTGAGTAGAGAGAGACGCTGTGAAATATATATTTGTACCATTTGTATTTCTTCCTACTTCTCTGAATAACAAAGTTGACCAATAATAAGATATCTTTATGTTTTGCATTGCTAGCTTATTTGGGCGCAGACCTGGCGGAATTCTTAGCAAAAATGGCATTTTGGCGCAAGATGTAGCAGACTTTCATTCATGGTGCAACTTGGCGCAAATGGCGCAGCGCTTCCATCGCTGCCGCAGGACGTCGTGATCTCGGACGAATACGCCGTGAACAAGGATGGAGCACCGTTCCTTCTTCACGATTCCGGTGCGACTGACGCAGAGCGCTTCATTGTGTTCTGTAGCCCAGACATGCTGGCGCTGCTAGGCTCTTCACGGCAGTTATTTGCAGATGGAACCTTCAAAGTGGCATCTGCCCTTTGCTATCAGCTATATACAGTTCACTACAAGATTAACGGCGCAGTCATCCCTGCAGTGTATGTTTTGATGAAGTCTAAAACAGAAGCTGCATAAACTAAGCTGCCTGCGGTTCTGAAGAGCAAGTGTGCCGCTGCTGATCCATCCACCGTTCTACTGGAGTTCGAACAAGCAACTATTAACACATTTATGAGGGTGTTTCCTTCTTGTCAAGCTCTTGGCTGCTTCTTCCATCTGTGCCAATGCGTGTAGAGGAAGTTGCAGAGTTGTTGTTTGCAGGTTTTATGACGCAAGAGCTCCGACGGCCATACTGCGCCAAGCTAGGTAAGCTAAAAATACATTGTTAAAAGTACACTAAGACTAGACTAGAACTTGGCTATGGTTTGTGTAAGATACCTGTAGTTTTGAGAAAAGCTAAAAGACGTTTAAATGATATGAGAGGCTACTCCCCTAGAACAACGACAGGGAGAAACGGGATGTTGTATTTGAAAAACTCGGGGGAAAAAGTCTTGTATTGTTGTAGAAGGCCACGGCAAAGGAAGAGAACATGTAGAACAGATAAAGTTTCTCAGCAGTATTTGCATAATGGCAGTTCCTCACCTATAAGCAGGTATTGATGAGTAATGAACGAGTGGCCAATTCTCAAGCGGCACAGAAGGACTTCGTGGAAGCGATTTTTATTATAGGAGGGTTCTCATGTACCAAGTTCTGGTTTGATGGCATGAAGCTTATTATTGTCGGCTAACTTCCATTCAGATTGCCATAACCGTGAAAGTGAAAATCTCACGGACATTTCAAGGTCTTGGTAAGGTACGCGGACATTCTATGGTAAAAAGTTCCGTGAAGAGGCGGCTAGTCTATCTGCAGCCTCGTCGCCTGCAATGCCCACATGGCTCAGGAACCAGCAAAACAATGTCATTCCCACCAGCGAGTCCCTGTTGACCTTTGGCCTGTACGAGTTGAGTCAACTTATTCGTAGTTGATGTAATGGAACATACTGCACTAAGAGAATGGCTTTCATCACTTTGCTCCTGATTATATAGTCAAGGGCTGCCAGAACACCATATAGTTCTGCAGTAAAGATGCTGGCGACATTGTTAAAGGCCGCCGTACAGTTCGTGCTTTCCACTTTTTTGGGTTTCCTCCTTTCCTGCCCTCCTTTCCTCCCTTCACCGCCCTCCGCCACCTGTTTACCGCCCTCCCCCGAGGGGCCAACACGGAGAATGGATTAGGAGACGCTTCCGTTAATCCGGCTTAACCCGCCGAAGAGGAAGACTGCTGCTTGACTAAAACTTAATTCGCTGCTCAAAAAAAAAAACAAAAAAAAACGCCGCGGGCAGCGATTGAATGCGCTTTGTCGGATGCGCAACGCTCCGTCCGCCTTGAACAAGCTTGTATGCAATGGACTCACATTTTTCGAAGCGCGGCAGGTTTAGTGTAGGTCCTATCATATGGTCCTGCAAGACCTCCCTGTCCGCCACAAGCTAGCCAATAATTCAAAACATTACGACGGCAGCGTGTTCAAACAGTGTAAAATAAAATGTATATAAAATTTATAAGAACACCGTTGTCTTCACTGCTTGGCTTTCAAATTTTTAGCGCTGCAAATAATCGTAATCAAAATATTTTTACGACTGAAGACCCCTCGTCGTGCATCGAACCCAGGATTACGCTTACGTGAAACATGACGCGGGAGCGGCTCGAGTCACCGTAAACATTTTTTTTTGTTTTTTTTTCAACGTGGATTTTGCTTTTTAATTTAGCTGAGGTACCACTGGCAGAACACGAATCGCATGCCTGGAAGGATCAGAAAACTCGTATAGCTGGTTGAGTGAATGCAATACTATCGCATTCGTTCCCTCACGATGCAATACGAGTAAGTAACGGCAGTTTATGCAATGTTGACGCTGCACAGCCGTGGTCGCACGGTTTTAAAAAGCGCTATAGAACGAGCACAAAAGCGTCGAATTTCGGTACACTGATTGATTTCTGTCTCCCCGCCGTGACGCCACACGAGAAAAGCGATTTCGTTTTGTCTGTGAAATTAGGAACACAAAAATCAAGATATAATCCCGGTAATAAAACAAAGCGAAATGGATCTCTGCAGCCAATTCCCAACCGTTCGCAAGGTGACTAGGCAAAAGCATATATTACCTCCGTTCCTTTACCCTCTGCACACCCACCAGAGAGAGTCATACAAACTCCTTTGCGCTATTATCAACACGATTACGTTTGCAAGCCGGTAGTTTGACTCGGCTGGGATTTGTCTCTTCTGGCTTTCATAGCTCTCTATGAAACCAGAACGGCAGATGCTTTTCTACATTGGGTGGGTTTGCCCGGGGCCTCCAGTTATTTACGGCCAAAATCACACTGGAGGCGCTTCAGCAATGTTCACTCTGGTCGACACACGTGCTCTCTAAAAATGCCTGTCGTCTACCTTCCCAAAAGATACTTGAAGAGCCAATCATAGAGACTGACGGATAATGAGGCCGAAATTATGCTTTTACCTAAAAAAAATTATAAGACAAATTTGGCCTCGTCATTCCCAAACTGGTTGCCGGACGAAATTCTCTATGCGAATTGCAAGCCAGGGTTGGTAATAGTAACATAAGATATGTACGGCAGAATTCCCTGCCATAAATAAAATAGTTTTGGCTAACGCCAAAGTAATGCGAAATAGGTGCAAAGAGTTTTTGCGAAAAGGAGCGTAAACCCAAAAAAAAAAAAGGAAAAAAAAAGACAGAGGAAAAGGAGAAATACGAAAACAAAATCCGATGACGTGGCCAAAAAAAATTTCTGTTCGTGTGATTTTTCTTGTCACGTGACCGAACAAAAAAATACATAAATGAAATTAAAAAAAAGGACACAAGAAAAAACCACCCACTGGCCGGTCTTGAAGCTAGGCCCTCTTGATCGTGAAACTAGCGCGCTATCCGTTGCGCCAACATAACTTTTTTTTTCTTTCTTTATTGCAAGTTGCGCCAACATAACTCTGCCTGTAATGCTCATGCATTCTCACATCATACAAGAAAGCTTAGGTACCTTTGTAGTTTTTCATGCATGTGTTATTTTTATTTGTGGCAAGAGTTCACGCTCCAGAATGCTTTTAGAGTTTTGGAGCCAAACAAGTTTTCTTCATCCGAGTCACCTTCTAGAGCCAGTAGACCGCACTGGGTCGTCCAGCTAATCAAGCAGCTACTTTCAAATTCTCTGACGTGCCCGTCCTCGCATCCGAGGTCGCCGTTTGACAAGCTTATCTTTCTTCCACCTGGTAGCCGCAACCCCCACGGCAGCTTTGTTCCATCCCCACTCCTTCTCGAGAGGATGGCTCGCCCAGAGGCTAATCCCATTCTCTAGACACTCTTTCCATCCAACGCTGGCCCTTTCCCTCCCCGTCCCCCAGCTTCAGGAGAGAAGGTTCTTCCCTGCAGAGCGTCCCGTTTGTACAGCGGCCTTTAAGTCGAGTAACATGGGTGAACGAATTTGAATAAACAGCGGAGCCGACATACATTGAGGACTTGGCACCATCAGTGTAAAACTGGCAGTAATGTATGTATTTTTCTTGCAGAGCTAGGAATTCCTGTTGTAGAATGAGTGGAAAGATGTTATGTTTATTAAATTTTGTAAGATACCAATCACAAGCTATAGGTTTGACATTCCATGGGGCAGTATGACATGCACTTTCTAGGAAATAAACGCCCTCATGTGGTAGGTTAAGGGAGTGGCGGAGGTTCTAAAAATGAAGACTCAAGGGTCGAACAATGGTTGGTTTATGGTTAAAAGTAGAACAAAACTTTGACTCTCGAATACTACTGTGGGTTGGATGGCTGGGTTCCGATAACACCTTGTAGGCATGAACCAGACTTAGATACTGCCGCATTTTTTCAAGGGACATCTCACTGGAGTCAGCATACAAGCTTAAAACGGGAGATGTCCTAAAAACACCGGTTGCAAGACACAACCCAAGGTGATGCACAGGGTCAAGCATTTTTTAGGCAGACGGCCGGGAAGACGCATACACGATAGCACCATAATCAAGGCACGATCGCGCAAGAGAAGAGTACAAACGAAGTAGACACCTCCTATCGGAACCCCAAGACCCAAGACTTGTGTGAAAGACATTTTTGTCTTTCACACAAGAAACCGGTACCAAAACGTCCTAGACCCATTTAAAACACCTCGACTCTCCGACGCTCGAGCTCAATTCTCGACGACGTTGACACCCGAGGGGCGTCGCACCAGTGAGATGTCCCGGCGGTGATGCAGTGAGGGTGGCTCACCATGAGGCGCACTTTGTAGAGCAGCGGCCCCAGGGTGGGCGAGATGGGCAGGTAGATGGCAATCTGGCGGTAGTAGAAGCACAGCAGGGCCCCGCACAGCAACACCTTGACCGTGTACGGGCTCAGCCAGGGCCAGGGCCCCGCCAGGCGCCCCAGGGCGTACAGGCACACAAAGCCCAGCATCAGCACCACCTCCACGCAGCGCAGGGCCAGCGGGGCACGGATGCTGCCCTGCGAGACACCCCGGCGTAGGCGGTGCCTCTATGACATTGATCCCTCGTGGTAGGGGTCCTCCTCTATGAGCACCGTACCAGTGTGCGGTCATGTACCATTACTGCACGTTAAGGCTGCGGTACCATGGCGGCCATCTCGAACAAGACATTAGTTGAACCACCAGGGCGACATTGGCTGTCCGTGTGAGCAAATGCTGCGGAACCTGCGCGCCAATTTCGAAACCCTTTTTCCCGTCGCTTGAGACCTCGAGTTTCCTTCTCCGCTCTTACACCCGTCCTTTCACGTGTTCACCCTCTGGTGCGTACATTCATTGTTGAGAGGACAATGTACCGGATAATCCCCAACTGAAGGCCCCCTGCCCCATCTTGTCTAGCTGCCAAGTGATCTAAGCGAGATGGGGTTTTGAAGCGGTATGAAAAAGTGGGACCGCCAATTTTAAACTATGCCTTTTCGATGTTGCATAAGTTGTGTACAGGACTGGCAAAGGCACAAGCACGAGGACGTAACTATATACAATGCTTGGGTTGCAGCAGCACTCGCGCATAGAAATGGTAGGAAGCACTTTCTGAAATCACACGCCTACATTCTCCAGCGTTGCAATCCTGCAAGTAAAAAAGAGTACACCTTCGACAGTGCGTCAACATCTCGTGAGTTTGTGAGTGCAACAGTATACATCAGAGCGCACCCTGGATGCCGGCCGTACCAAACACACATCTGGCGCTTCCTGTCACCAATGCCTCTGCTTGCACGCGCTGCCGATTGGCGGTTATTTCTTTTTTCATTTTGTTTCACTCGGTCTTTTGAAAATATTGAAACTAATACTTTCTCAGACGCTGCTCATCGTGCCTCTGCACTACACTTGTGTAAACACATTGTGATGTAATTTCAGATATGGGACGGAGTGTCTACATTCTTATTTCGTGTGTAATGCTGGCATAATATTCCTTTGCTGCGAGAGGCTCAAAAAATGGTAGGGTCGGCAGCAAAAACTATTTCAATGCCTGAATTATGATCAAACACCAGTAAGAACATAAAAAAGAAATCACATGGGGACAATAAAAAGATTGCTACAACAGGATGGTGCATGGGGCACGAACAATATTTGGAGTGACGTTGACGGAACGCGACAAGCCAGATCTTTCCTGATGGCAGTTGTCAAAGGAAGCGAGCTGAACGTTGATCTGGTGCCTTGTTTTGATCGGCGTTGTACAGAAACTCGTCGATTATCGACTATCTTGTCAGTGGTGAATATAGTGAACATGACCTCATGATTTTTTGTTTCTGTAATAAATCAGAGTATCGAAATATGAGACGTCCGCTGACGCTTGCTTCGGCTAACAAAACCTCAATCGCCGATCGCGGCTGATGCTAAGGGTGTATACAAATACATCAAGTCGTCTGCTTCCACTTTATTCGGGAGCCGTCTGCCACAAGGGAGAGGGTGGACACTGGGCGGGAGCAGTTGAAGCGTTGCGCTTTTTTTGCCGGTCGGTAGAGATTTCGCGAATTCTTGGTCTAGCTACCCCATGCTCAGGGAGCCGCTACTGAACACGACCATTTGGAAACCAAGAATGGCTGAAATTTCCTAATTGCCGTGTGATTTGCCAATTCATTCTTCCAATGGTCGTAAATTCATCACAATCGCCATTCTATTTACAGTATAGACCACTTACAACGTAACCGCTTATAGTGCAGGACCGGGTATAACGCGACTTTTTTAAACCACCGGTTCGCCTCCCATAGAACTCCATGTAATTACATACCGCTTAAAATGCAGGCGCGCGAAGGGAAATACCGGTTATAGTGCGGTTTCTCAAACAGCCCGCCAACCGCGCCGACTCTAGATAATGGCGCTAGCCGCGAGCGGCACTCGTGGGGCCAAGGAGGTTGCTCGAAAAAGCGGGGAGAAGCGAAGAGGGAGGCTTCAGTTGCCATAGCGACGGAGGGACGCATGCACGTGTCGTTCACGTGCGTGCGTGCGTGCGTCCCTCCGCTGTGTTGGAAACAACCGCAACGACAGACCAATCGCAGGTCGAGGAGAAGTGTTCGCGCGCGTTGCATGCCGGTCGCGGGCCAGCTGCTTCTCTGTGCGAACATGGCGTCGGCTGTGATCTTCGTCGTAGACGGCATGGTGGAAGTTCATCGTTCCGCGTAAAAGCGCTATCCTTGACTGTGAATTTTCGTTGTGTGTCGCTATGATAACCCACGTACTAGAAGGGAAGAGGGAAGATCCACCTACTCGTGCGGTGATGTTGTGGCGGCACTCTCAAGACGGCAGAAACGCCCGTGTCGCCGTGTTTGTTTACTTCGACTAGAGTGGTGCTTTCTAAACATTTGTGTTTTCGAACATCACCCGGATTTCTTATTTGGAGCATTTCGTGCCTGTGCTGAATTTGAAGGTATTACTGGTGCGTACCATATAAAGGATGCGAATTTTCACGTGTTTTCATCGCCGGAGAAAAGTGATTAGGGTTAGCATTCCCGAACGCTCGCAACGTCCGTCCGCAACCCGGGATGCCGTTAAAGGGCTGCGCCAGGCAAAAGTCGCTTATTTCTTTCAAAATGTGTGACACACTTGAGAGAGAAGTGTACTAGTCTGGTGAAATAAAGACTTTCCTCAAACTAAGCTTTATTTTTCATCTAACATAGAAATAAATTCTTTTACAAAGGTAAGTTGTCTGATGGCATGTATTTTGGCCTGAAAAATTGATGTTTTGGTTATAGCGCGGTACCGCTTATAGTGCGGATTTTCGCGACTCCCGCGGGATACGTTATATGCGGTCTACACTGTACTAAGCAATTATTTATATGAAAGGATATATTTTAAAATTCGTACGTAGCCCACCAAATGGCAATAAAAATTGGCATAGGATTTTAAGACTATAGTGTCACCCTAATTTACAAACTTGTTTCACTTGAAATTAGAGTTGACGCGCAAGCGAGCTGGTGGAAACTTATACTAAAAAGGCCAGAAACGGGAGAAACAAAAAAGAGGCCGCATCTCCACCTGGTGAATGATGTTGATTGGGGCAAAGCTCTGGTGGTGCTGATGATACTGATTTAATTGTTCATAGGTAGTGCTGATGGTGCTGATTTTTTTTTTTATTGCTCATAAGTGGTGCTGAGCTCCGGGTTGCGTTTCGACTTCATTATTACTGCTTTATGGTCGATGAAATGCAGAGCCAGTGGTTCTTCTAGCGGATCAACTTGGATCCACTAGAAGCCGTGAGAACACATCTCCACCGCTTAAGTCAACAATCCATGTCAAAAAGAGAATCTGTGGTATGGATGTGGTTATATGCTGTAGGAGTTCGCGTACCGCCGCCGGTTCGCCGTTTCCCAAGTGGTCCGTCAACAACCCAAGTCCAGCCTGGTTCTTTCACGGGAGCGGGATTCCGCCCCCCGTTTATTGGTACATAAAAACACAACGCTACAAAACACTCAATCTAAACTACAAATACACGCGACATTACACAAATATTTATAAACGCATGTTAAGCCCAAAGCTAAACACAAAGAAGGCCCCCAGGCCTCGTGTCCCGCGATGTCCTAGATCCGGTTGCCACCCACCTGCCTGCGTCTCGGTCTCGTCCGAAGTTCCAAGAGGCCTCTTGCCCCCTACCCCACCGAGTATATATCGATCGATGGGCGAGGAGGTTTCTCCTCGCCCGCCATGGGGCGCCTGCAGCGCCATCCAGTGGCTAGGAGAGAAAGCAGCTCGTCAGGAGCCGAATTCGAGACCTCGATCGACCCTGCGGCGACACGACCATGTGATTGTGTCTAAGGCGAGGCAGCTACTTAGCTGCCTCGCGGCCCAGATTGGCAGAATGGTTTGATGGACACCCTCGTAAATGCACGAATCGCCATAGTACGCAGTTGAGCATTTGACTGCAGCGCCCTCTTGTCTATAAACGTTGAGCCAATGAATGCAAAGTTTAACGCGATTATATATGCATTTGACCACAGCACCCTCGCCTGCATAGACGTAGAGCGGCTACATGCAATGTTGGAGTAAAGCGTAGTGGTTAAGACGTCTGCCTCATAAGCAAGCGGTCCCGAGTTCAAACCCCCGTGTGGGCGTACGTTTTTTTTTAAAAGTGGGCCGATCCCGGAGGCAATGCAATCGATGTGAGCATGGACGCCGGATGGATGGATGGACAAGGCTAGACCCTAAGGAGCTTCGCCCCTAAAAGTAAATAAATAAGAGCGGGATAAACACAACACAGTCTCAAATCACAGCTGAATATGTTTAATTGGTGAGTGTAAATGTCCAGACTTTGTATTAGTAAAGTATATATATATACTTTTATTTTTATTTTTTTTTATTTTTTTTTTTCACTGTTTGGTGATGTTAGTTGAAACTAAGCAACATAATTTTCGCTAAAGGCTACTGTTATTTACAAAATACGACGAGCGTAGTTATTATATTTGCAATAATTTGATAGCAGAAACGTAATTCGATCAAGCATATGTCAAGCTGCTTGATGAGTCGGTGTTCAATGAAACGGAGTTCAATGCATTGCCAATCAATAAAACAGAGTTTCATCGAACGAAGATGCCAAGCTGTTGTGAGCCGCAATATTTCGTGCAAAAAAGAAAGAAAACAGAATAAGAAACCATAGAACTGCCCTACCTCATTTCACCCTCAGTTGGAGCTCGGCCGTCACATTGCGCCGATCAAGCTTCACCAACAGCTCAACACCTAAACGCCACGGCATTCACTATCTTTGTTTAGGTGTTTCCACCCACTAATATAACAAGGCAACCAATGCGCCGTGATAAAGCGCTTTTTGTCTTTGTGTTTCCGTGACATCTAGCCTTCGTTTGCGCTCTCACCAAGAGTGAAACCAAGTATACTAAAACATCGATAGTGGTCTCTTTTTTTAGCAACACTCGCACATGTAAACAATGTGCTTGTCTTTGACGCAATGGCATTCTCCTCTCCCATACACGGACAATTAGACAAAATGGGTTGGTCGGCCTTCCCTCGTTAATTTGACTGTGACGTATGAATAATTCAAAGAAGCATCGACAAGTAGGCGCCTTTTTGAAAACAATTCATGCCTGCAGCGTAGAAATATTTAGCGCCTATAGAATTGTCCGAGGGTATTTATTTCGAGACCAACTTGTCGGCGTCAGTAGGTACAGGTGCTGGAGGCGTGAGCAAAATGCTGAAAGATGTCGGCTTGACAAGCCCCACTCTCCCCCTTTGTGGCAGATGGCAAATAAACCAAGAAAAATCATTGTTGACATGCAAGTCTACAAATACTGTCGACTTTACTAAAGTTATTGTTATTACTAAAGTCCACCTTTTACTTGGTCTTTGTTCTGATGCTTGTTTTCTGTGTTTTATGTTTTACATTCAAGTGGGTTAGGGTTACAAGCAAGCTAGCGGATGCCCACTCATTTCTTTGGCTTTAATCTCTGCATACCTTGCTTCACTTTGCGATGGACCGTTGCGGATGCTTCGAGTCACCCCAGGCAATCCAGCACCGTGAGCTTACTAAGATCACTGCTTTTTTGAGGCATTTAGCATTCTTTTGCAATAGGCTATGAATTTGATAATGTCAGCTTTATGTTGCTTATGCCGGAAACATTGCACAATGTAGCTGTCAAGTGTGAATTTTTATGTTTAGGAATTAGAGGAATGAAATGGAACGATTCAGCCATTCCAGGAGTGGGAATGGGCCCAGTGTCCCCATTCCTAAGAGTTGAAAGGAATTGAATTATCGAAAATTCTAATTCCCGGAATGGAATTGGAATGGAATAGGGGTGCCCATTCCGCAACACTGGTGCCCACTGAATTAGCTTTTTGCATTAGGAAAACAAATCCTGCATCAGAGGAAAGATAATGTTGTACACTACAAGATGATATATAACACATAATTTTAGCAAGCTTGAACACGCCACAATCGCATTTCAAAAACGCGCGGAAAGCGTCATATGTCATGGCCGCCGCGGGACTGCAGCTTTAAGGGCCCCAGGCCATGGTGGAAGAGAGAGAACCAGACTAGAAAAGGGGCTGAAATTCCAGTCAGGCTTCACGCATCTTCTGGCACTTTTGGATTAGGGCTCCCTGAACGCTCCCGCGCAGGCATGGTCCAGTGCAGCGCAAGTTGAAAACTCAGATAAGGACGGTTCCTCGAGTCCTTGTCATGATGTGGGTTTCCCGACGTTTGCCAAAAATGTGTACAATCTTTCAACAGACTTGTTATATGGCAAAGCAGTGCTGTTCGGAAACCTCTCCCTTCTTCTACCGTGCCCCAGCCTAGCAGTCGTACTGCAGACTAAATTTCTCATCTACAGCGGAGACGTTAGACGCCCAGAGGACATGACTAACTTCATGCTGTTTAGGCGTACAGACAACGCAATTAGCAGAAAGGTTTATCGGATGCTATGACCGCATGATCCCAGCAAGGCAGACATGTCCGGGCCCCAGCACCCAAAGCGGCCTAGCTGGTCTCTCACCTTGTAAAGCACCAAGGTGCGGCGGAGAGACTCGAGCGCGATGAGGGCCGTCCAGGCACACACCGCCAGGTCTACGTACCAGTTGCCGCATGAGGGCAGCAGCACTGCCACACTGAACAGGGCCAGGTAGGCTATGTAGAAGATCTGCAGGGGAGAGAGGCATGGACTGCTGTGGCAGCTAGTATGATGCCTAGAGGCTGGAAAGTGGCTCTGACTAGCATGCTGATCCTGTCCTCAATTGTGGTCTCTTGATTTCTGCCTAGTGACCTTATGCGGATATCGCGCTGTTACCTGCCCCCACCCTGACAGTGCCACAGCAGCAGAGCTGGACACAACGCAGACCTAGCTGTTCTGCAGTACATCACTCTCCAGCCTGGCAGTTCAAGGAACCTTCAGTAGCCAGAAACTGACACGCTGCAATGATGGCGACACTTGCGTTCGCTAGTCTTGTTTGCCGGGACTTCTACAACCTACTGCCAGGATCGAGACATCCGAAAGCAAGACACATTGGCTCCTGTGGCATCCTTTGCTGCCACTTTGGGACCACACTCGGTGCATGGGGGTTAAAGCTTACTAAGCACATTGGTCGAAGTCATATTCTAGGCATCGATCGAGCTACCCCAGCACTGAGTAGTAGTCCTTCCCGGTTGAGGTTTGATTTTGGGTGCTTCGTGGGAGTGAGAGTATGTAAATAGTGAGAGGTCTCGAGGCCGCTGATGGGCTTGTCCTGAGTGCTTTTTTTATTCATTGGTACATTTCCGGCATGTGTACAGCACTAAAGTGGACTGAGATTTGCAGAGAAAGTGCGGGTTGCCTACCATTTCCCTCGTGAAATAGCAGACAATCACAATTTCAGCGTGCGTTTGATATCACTTTACTGTGGTACTCAGGTTAAAGATGATCTACTTTGTCCAGTTCTTATTAGCAGATTATGCAAAAATATTTTCTTGCATAATTTTTGTCTGTAAATGGAACCCTTGTAGCAGACAAAACCCTGTTCTTTGCTCACGCTGACAGACTAACTGTCTGCTACTAATATTTTGGCTCACTTCATGACAGTCAAATTAGATCTCACTCTCGGTTATCAAAATTAGACACTTGGTTTCGAGGTGTAGCTCGTTTGAAAGGCAGCATACCGTCTAGGGTGATCTTCCAGAGAGGGGCCCCCCCTTCCTCAGATGCAACTCGAAGAGGCTATGGTATGTGGATGGTAATGGCGTCGCCAGTGTTCATATATCGGAAATGCCAAACATCTGTGTGCCTAGTCAAAACTATGCATTGCACATTGTGTTTTGTTGTTTCTCACTTATGTAACCCACTTCCCTCTGGAATGCCACTGACCCTGAGGCTATCTAAATAAATAAATACTTGGCACTGTACTAGTCACTGCTGAGGGGGCAATTTTGTAAAGTACATTCAGTTTAAAATAATTAGGTTGTTAATCATGTTCACATAATCAACTTCTTAATTACTAAAAGTAAAGGAAGAGTAGTTTGCTAGAAATTTACCGCACATCATCAAAACCGCCAACTTGGCCGACGTTAGGAGGACTTAAAGCATGCGTAGCATTACATGGCGTCCCACAAGGAACATCTACCTAGTTTGACCACAAAACGTGCTCAAATAGGGTGTTTGATAATCAGCCTGTCCATCTGCAGCTGTGGCCTCGTTCCCTGTGGTCGAGGTAGCAACGGCCATAGCATACCGCAACGCCTTGCTTCCCTCCCCCAAGCCAAAGCAAAGCAATGGCTCACCTGGAAGGTCCAGAACTTGGTGATGGGGGCGCTCCACATGAGGTGCACCATCTCCCAGAGGGGAGGGGGCGAGGGCAGAAACAGCTCCTGCTCTCGAAGCAGAGTACTCACGGCCTCCCTTGCCCCCTTCCTGGAAATTAAGCGTGTCTTGATCGTATCTGATAAGTTCGGAGAAACACAGCATGTGTTGCGAATGAGCTGGGCACATGCTGTGTGTGAGACATGACGTGACACAATGGCATTATGAAACTGTGACGTCATGTGACTGTGACATCATGTGGCTCTGTGACATCACGTGACTGTGACATCACATGTAGCATGATGTCACAAGATCACGTGCCTCTATGATGCCACATGACATCATGAGATAACGTGACTCTTTGGTTTCACGTGATAGAGCCCACACCGACACAAAGGCCACGGGACCTCATGACGTCAGGCGACTCTGCGACACCCAAGCTTGTTGTCAGGTCACCCAATGTCACAGTCACGTGACATCATGTGCAGTGATGTGATTGGCCCCAGCCGTTTTGGAGCACCTTTCGGAGCAGCCAAAACAGTGTTTTGGAGCAGTAAACGTGGCTTTTGGAGCAGCAAAAAGTGACTTTTGGAGAAGATATTCTTATAAAAATAAAAATATTCATTTTTAGAGCTGGACAAATGAAATGCAGTTTGCTCGCCGCACTAAACAAATTATGGTCAAATTAGACCACCTGGGAGTCTTTCAACATGTTAACTGAAATGCCAGTGACATGACACATTTTGCAATGCTTAAGTTAAATTATGCATATATATGTACCCGCTATAGATAAATAAGAACCAAACTGCACATATTAAATTTATTTGAAAATGACCAGCTTAGTAATAAATATCAAAGCATAAAGTTGACTAGTGTATACTGTATGACAAACTGAAGCAGTCTCCGACTGATGAAACACGTAACTACTGCACAGCAATGCGAAACTGTACACAAGAAAAAGGTGCAGTACAGTCGAATCTCGTTAATTCGAGCATGCTTAATTCAAACTTTCGGTTTATTCAAACTGACGCTGTGGTCCGGACTACACTATATGTATTTCAATGGGCGAAAATGCCCGGCAATTCAAACGATTAAACGCCTGCGCCAGTTAATTCGAACATCATGGGCCGCCGAGCATGCCTTCAGGAGCGGGCTAACTTAAGGCTAACTCACGCGGCAGAGCCTCCAACGTCTCCAGTTCCAAATAACTGTGCCAACCGATCACGTAGTGACCTGGGATGCTGCGATGGGCGGTGCGGTGCTCTCTTGCACGGTGACGGTATCCGCTGCCCTTCGGCGTGTTTTCAGCGGGAGTGCGACAGTTCCATTTAATCTCGCGCATTGCTGCGGTTCAACGTGTTTCCTGTGGGCGCGTGACTGAAGTTTGCTGCGCCTCTGCTCTTTGGCGTGTTTTCGACGGGAGTGCGACAGTTCCGTTTCTTGCCTTGCACTCACGCGTTGCTGAGGTTCAACGTGTTTTTGGTGGGCGTGCGACTGAAGTTTGCAGCACCTCTGCTCTTCGGCGTGTTTTCGGTGGGAGTGCGACAGTTCTGTTTGTTGCCTTGCACTTGCACGTTGCTGCAGTTCAGCGTGTTTTCAGTGGGCGCGCGACTGACATTATCTCGATTCCAAGCGTCATGGCGAGCCGGGGCACGTACCGCCCACCAAAGGACGTCAAGACGAAGGTAAAGATACTGCAAGAAGTTGACCAAGGCGCACTTTCCAAGACAGAAATAGCGGAGAAACACAGCATCACGAAGAGCACTCGAAGCGCTGGACAGTGTAGCACTTCGAGAGAAGCGCTACACTGTCCAAGAGAAGTAGCGCGCGGTGGTGTCCAGTGGACACCACCGCGCGCTACTTCTCTTGCCAGGAGAATGCGGATGCCGCATTAGAGCTGGTCTCCAAGCTCCAAGCGATCTTTGTTGATTCACGACTGAGGAACTGCGCACAGGCATGCATCACGGATTACTTCCCTTTGTGATCGGTGAAAATAAATGCCCTGGAACTCGTCGCTCATGTGCTAGCTCAGTGCACATGCGCCGCCTAACGCAGCGCTGCACGTAAGTACTCCATTTAATGAGCTTTCGTTAATTCGAACTTTGTTCAACCCCCTCGATCTTGAATTAACGAGATTCGACTGTTCGACTAGCGGGGGCTTTTCCTTTTGCTTTTCGAAACTTTCTGCAATGCCGCTGCAAGCCTCGCTTTGCCTTCGGCAAGTAATGAATGGTCCACTTTCCATGTGGGATGTCTCAATGTCTCCAAAGAGACACTAAGACATCCCACAAGTGTACAGTGCTGTAGGAGTTGCCAAGCAATTCCGAAAAAAACACTTGCCACCGTTTTACTGGTTCCCGACGTGCCAGATTTTCGCCAAAACCAAGCAAACGTAAAGCAATAGATTCCAAGCGTCCCAGCTGGTGCCTCTGTCGTGCAAGCATGTTCGCAAGCACGTAAAGGCAACTTCGGCAGGCTTGCAGTTGCACGCGCTTCGTCGTGCGAGCGGAGACGGCTGTTCGATCAAAACCGAAACCGTCCAACTCTGCTTGGTTGCCAACTACTTCCCGAAATTGTATGCAAAATGTAACGGTCCAGAATAGGACAGAAAACAGTCCAGCGGCACGTGCTTGCCAGACCGGCAGGCAATGCACAAGCTAAACACACAGAAAAAAAAAAAGAACCTGAGCGCATCGATGCAAGACATTGTGAGTCAAGGTCAAAAAGTTCTTGGAGCGCTTTGTGCAACAACTGAACTCGAGACAAGAGCGCTGTGCGGGTTCAGCGTGCAGACATTGTCTTTCTTGTTTTAGCTCACTTCTCTTCACCTACTTTCTTTCGCGGCAGACCTTTCACGTACCGAGGTCCCTCTTAAAAGAAAGCCCACTGAGAGAAACCTAGGTAATCAATACTTCAACACAGCAGCCTTTGAGCTAAAGAGGGATTTTCATAGTAGCGTATGATTTAAACAAGAACAGGAATGTTGATGACCTTGCGGCGGTTCTTACATTTCAGCTTAGAAAGCGCCATATCTGCAGCGACGTGGGGACGGCAACACCCGACGTCATGCAACCACGGTGACTGGTAAATAGGGACCAAATATAGTTTCCCCATGGCTGTTGCTTTCAGAAGCGAGTGCTTCAGCTCAAAAAGTAAGTCCCGCCGCGCAAAAGCGCGGTTTCGTTTCACAACATGACGGCATAGCTGGTACCCAGAACGCTAGCGTTGGAGCATCCACACACACTTGCATATGTCATTGCAAAAATTTTAAAAAGATGCAAGACGAGACCCACGAGACGATGAAAGCGCTAAATGAGAGATGGCGGGAAAAACCATGCAAGACCGAATGGACGATTGATGAAGGGTACTTTGTTTCGGGCGGCCGCTTGCGCCACCTAGCTCACGCATGCTCAATTGCGGTACTCAGTTTACTTTCGGTTTTGAAAGGCGACCGAAATTGATCCTTCGGGGCAGGCATGGCGCAGATTACTCATATTTCGGTCATTGCGCTTCACACCGATGACATCGGCTCACTAAATGAGACAGTTAATGCTTTCGCATTAAAAAGGTGTCGGAAGAGTAATAAGTAGAAGACGAGGAGAAGACTGGCTGGATGGTTCTGGGCAGTGTACCATGCCTGCACGATTCCAACGCACATTTTTTTTCGCCAAAATCGGTGCCCAAAAATATATGCACATAACAAACCCAGAAAAAAGAACGCAATACTCGGTAAAAGGTGGCTAGCCCCATTGCCATTGTGACCGTTTGTTTACATTCACCATTTTGGTGTCCGTATCACATGCATTCTCTCACATCTACAGACTCGTGTCTGCAGCTTTAAGAAAGAAAAACAAAAGGAATTCCACTAGGAGGCTTTATTTAAACGAAAGGCCATCATGCTGGCGGGAAAAAATAACAACGAAGCAGCACTGCGTGGCCTCGCAATCCCAGCGACCCGACGAGCTTGCAGAGTTGTGTGGAAGACGGCCCTCCCAGAGCCAACGGTTGCGCATTCGTACAAGCGCAAGAAGCGGAGCGCCCAAAACACTTTAGACAAAAAAAAAAAAGGATTACCTCTGTGCACAGCAAGGAACCATCCACCGTCGGACTCCGACAACGGTGACTAGTGCATGGAATTTATTTTACAGCGGAGCTGTTAAGGGCTAGGTTCCCCAGGATCGTGTCCGTGTATGTCGACACAAACCTACCTGGACAGCTACCGCCATCTATAAGCGACGGCGGCAAGCACACAACCAGTATGGTTTCCGCCGTCGCTCGTAGATGGCGCCAACCTTTCCAGCTATAATAGAAGAATGAATAGTTGGGCGCGTTGGTGGGAATTCATCGTAGGAAACAGCGCGAAAAACAGACGACTACGAAGAAGAAGCACACAGTGTATCGAGCACCCAGCTCCGCTTGTCTTCCTTCTTCACGAGAGTGGAAAGGCTGAACAATTTTTGTATTGGCATGCGCTTCATAAAATCTCTTCCATGAAGTATGTGTTCAACCTTAATTGCTTTACCTCCGTGATAAATCGGCAGCAATTCACTTTTTTTAATATCTGGGAGCTAAATCTGCCTGTGCAATAGAATTGGGGGCCCGGTAGAATCGTGCAAACATGGCATTCAGAAAAGCTTGTGGTGCAAGTCTACAGGCCAATTTGGGCATTCTGGCTAACGCGATTTCATGGTCGTTGCGTTGACCGGTTTACGGGGGAGAGAGAACTACCTAGCCTTTAGCCAGCTCCATAATTTGCTTACGTCCATAAGGTAAGCAAGGGTAGTGCACGAATCACTGAGGTTTACCTAAGACTCGGCTCTCCCTTTCTTTCTTTCCGCCTATAAACCAGGTGATGCGACGTCCATAAAATCGTACCAATCAAGTGCCAAAATCGGCCCATTGACTTACTCCAGAAAGTTTTCGAACACCCTTCTGGACGGACTGTTCTGGGACACCCTTTTGCAAGAAGCGGGGGCCAAAGCAGTGCACTGCAGCCCTTGGGGGAATTCCAAAGAGCCCAGTGACGGCCCCAGGCTCATCTCAACTGCCAGGGACCCCCTTTTCCTCGTATCATGGTAAAGCAAGTATAGGAGCCTGGGTTGGAGCCAACCCACAAATTCCTATTAGCATAAATTTGACACGCGTACACCTCTACTAAAACTAGTTATTGTTGTTTGCAGCTTCGCGTAAGCCATAACGTCTCTTTATTCTAACACTTTCGAATGCACCGGTCGATGGGCAATCGCTGCAGTGGTCCTACTACTTTCCCTTGCAATGCACGTTGGGCAGGGGCTTAAAGAAAGGGCTAAGGAATCGCAACAGTCCACTGAGGGGGCAGCAGCTCGACAGCTCCTGCACAACGAGGACATAAAGGTTGATTTTTTGCGCCACACACCGAAGGCGAGGTGGAACAGGAGTGCTGCGTCAGCGTTCGGCTGCCACTCGTGTTCAATCAGGGAGGACACGACTCCCAGCCAGATGCTGATTCAGTGCTTGTGTCCCATTCATGCCCAGCATTGTCCTCCAGGCGGAGGAAACTTGGCTTTTCGGCTTCACTATTCAGGTGTTAAGCAGCTCCCAAAAATCCTCTGTAGGCTGCTCCGACTCCTGGCCAGAATGTGGTGTTTTTCAGACGAGCGAGCATACTCACGCGTCGTTGCCTTGGGGACCTTCCTGGAGCAGCGCGTCCTCTTCCCCTTCCCTCTCCTCCTCCTCCATGTCCGCCTCTACAGAGGAAGCACGCACCGGCAGTGAGAGAAACCGCCGGGAAACACTCCGGGTCGTTTCTAGCCCTATTTATTTCACTATATCCAATGATTCCCTACATCCGCACCTGTAATAATGAGACTAGGCTATAACTGCAAAAATTGCAATTCCCTACTTCACACCAAAATTGTCCCTTTCACGTACGGAAGTCAGCATGAACAAAAGAATCCAAGAGAGTTGGAATACACGGCAAAAAAGCAACCCCACATTTCTTCGTCGTGATGCAGTGAAAAACAACTGCACCACAAATTTAATGATATATCATAACAGCCGATGCTATTGCCCCTTGTGTCAATAGCACGCACAGGGAGAGATTTTGAAACCTGCACACCTACTTCAGTGTCAACTCTGGTGCCTGCAATGCATCTCCATCTGATGTGTCTAATCAATACCACCTTTGCTCCTCTCACGTCATCACTAGTGGTTCCACATGGCACTGCCCATATCTTGCATCTGCTTCTCTGAGAGCGTGTTTCACAGCATGTTTCACAGCAAGTGGCGGATCAGGAATCCACTAACGATGACATAATGAGAAGGCCCTGTATTCTAGGTGGTACTTGATTGATGTACCTTTATTTTGTCCCTTCAATTTCTGCCTGATAACATCTTAAAAAGTGTAGCAACTATGCAATGCCAAAATTCTGGCAATGGCACAGCAGTGGTGTTGGATATGGCAGGCACATGTTGTGCCGTAGCACGCTCCGCAACTGGACGGTTGACGGCAGCTAAGCGACCATTTGAAGCCGACTAACCTGCTATTTAAGAGCAACCAACTGGCCAGTTGACAACAACTCCAGAAGCAGAGGGTCTGGATGCCGCGACAACAGTGTCGCCCAAGTCCCCCCGTCTCATTCGCCCCACCATAACAATCCCAGCATTACCTAATGACTCCTGTGAAATATACTGTTGTCATTATGGGGATTCTTTGATGCAGAGCAAAGTAGGACCTATTCCTACACCGGTCGGAGACACGGTCTAGTCTCTAAAAAGGCATCAAAGCCACATCTTTTTGACTCATCAAACACAGTCAGCATTATTACAAACTATACTTGATCTACCGATTTCCCCCATGTTGTCAAAGCATGGCAGGGCAAACCGGGGTCGTCGAATGGCTTTCCGGCACCGGCTCCAAGATGTCATGGATCAAGCACTTGCCTTCTTTGTACTCCATCTCGTGAGGGTCAGACTTGAAGCGAACCCAGACGTACATAGGGAACACCAGGAAAGCACACAGGATCACCTGCACAAATGGGGTGTGCATAAAAAGCCACCCCACGTTCCAGTAGCCCTATGATGCAGGGACACCAGAGAGGCAAAGCAGCCTTCAACGCGTAACATCAAAGAACTAGCAGGCTTGGAGCAGGACAGAGAGTGTGAGAAGCAGGCTTTCGTGCGCACCTCTAGGTATCACAAGAGTGAAACCGTCAAGTTGTCGTCAACCTTTGTAGCGTTGTAGCGGTAGGCTCAAAACACCAGCACGCCATAACGTCCTGCCCAATGCCGTGAGAAAAAGAGTGAAAAAATTGTGGAAGGGCTGAAAACTTATTTTTTGCACTCTAGAGTGAAGACTGAAAAGACAAATGACATAAAGATGGACTCATGGCTTTCTTAAGTGGTGCTCAGTATGGGGAATGACAGGGACTGAAGATTTCTGATTACGGTACCCTCTCTCTTTCAGATCCCAGGACTGTGAACACCCGGGGAATGTCATTGTAGCCTCAATAGTTTTTAAAGAGATGTTAGACTAGACGCCTGGCATCTCAAATGTGACCAAACAAACTATTACATACATAAATCCTGCGTGTCGTATTCTAGGAACCAGTTGGCCAGGGTGGAGCAGCATGGTTTCAGTTTTGAATGACACAGCTTCAAAAACAGTAGTTGCAAGCCTATACCTAAAGTATGAACCCATACGATGCATTTATCTCTGTTTTTGAGGTGGGTGCCTTGTAAACAACTTGACTGCATCATTCTATCGCCTTTGAACTTGCCTGAACGGCCACATCTCAACGCTTCAGCGCCAGCCCAAACCACATGTAGTGTTCCTATTGGTGCATGCCTGTTTAATTTATGTACTGGAGCACTTCTTTCAGATTTCACGGTGGAACTGTTAAGGGCTAGGTTCCCGAAGATCGTTTCGGGTACCAAACAAATGCCGACATAAAACTCTGGACAGCTACTGCCATCTATGAGTGACAGCGGCAACCAAACAACCGGCTTGCCGCCCTCGCTCATAGATGGCGGCAACCTTTCCAGCCTTTGCACTCTGGTTTTCACCAGAGTGGAAAGGCTAAATTTCTCTAGGCGTCGTCCTAGATGTCGTCCTCAAGGTCGTCCTAGAAGTCGTCCGTGAGGTCGTCCTCGACGTTGTTCCTGAAGTCGTCCTGGAGGTTGTCCGAGAGGTCGTCCTAGAAGTCATCCTTTAAGTCGTCCTAGAGGTCGTCCTTGAGGTTGTCCTTAAGGCCGTCCTAGAAGTCATCCTTGAAATTGTCCTTGAGGTCGTCCTAAACGTCGTCCCTGAGGTCGTCCCAGGCATTGTCCTTGAGGTCGTCCTAGACGTCCCTGAGGTCGTCCTCAAGGTTGTTCTACAAGTCATCCTTCAGGTTGTCTTAGGTGTCGTCCTTGAGGTTGACCTAGACGTCGTGCTTTAGGCGTCACCCTTGAGGTCGTCCAAGAAGTCGTCCTTGAGGTCGTCCCATCATAGTACAGCTTCGCTGGTCTTCCTTCTTCACCAGAGCGAAAAGGCTGAAAACTTTTTGACGTGAAAGTCTTTCATTTCGATCATTAGGGGGTTGCTTGCTAAAACCGCATGTAACAAAAACATGTAACACTAATATTGCTTATGTCTTCGCAACCACGCTACCTGCACGCCTCACTTCGGTACCGTTGTGTAAAGAAGCATTACTCGATCATACGTGTTGGGCAAGCAAATGGCGCCGTTGTCGCACCACGCGTGATGCATTCGGAACTAAACCTAGCCTCGCGCATGGTGTTTACGGAGGCGTAGCTTAGCTGTTAGTCTGTCGATCCGAGCAAGAGTGGTCGCATTTGAGAGAGCTCACTATGCCATAGGAGGTATAATCCATTGAACTTAAACCAGTGCTTATCGGGAATTATAATTAAGGCTTAAAAGTGTGTAATTTGTTGCAGATATTTGATGGTTGCTCAACTTAGGCACCCTTGCATTTGACACATAGGGTCCAAAAATGGCGTGAAGAGACTCGGGCAGCAAGACAGCGGGATGCCAATCCTCGCCCACCCCCTTTAACGACGGCAGAACGTGTCAGTCTCCACAGGGAGCCAACAGGGGGAGCATGATTAGAGAGTAAGACCCCCACTAGCTATAACATAAGTTAAGCATATAACCCAGGCAGAGCACATACAATATTGGGCCAACATTGGATTTGATGTGGCAAAGAATGGCCCAATTGAGCAATATGTTTCCCGATATTGGGATCACATTGGGCAATAATGGACTATCAAAGCCAATGGTTTTCCAATATTGGTGATACACAGGCATAGGCTGGACAACATTGGACTCTCAAAGCCAATAGCTTTCCAATATTGGATATACGCCGGCATTAGTTGTCCAATATTGGACTGTCGAAGCCACTGGCTTTCTGATATTGGCTAGATGCCGGCATAAGCTGTCCAATATTGGACTGTCAAAGTCAACAGCTTTCCAATATTGGATATACGCCGGCATAACCTGTACAATATTGGACAATGAGTGCCAATGGCTTTCCGATATTGAATATACCCTGGCTTAAAGGCCGGCCCGCAAGCAGAGAGAAGGAACCCGACCCTCACTTTCCTTCTCGCCACTGTGAAAGGAGGAAATTGCCTCTCGTTTCCTCCTCGCCATTTTCCGATTTCTTTTTTTTTTTTTTGCCAGCTGCATGCTTCTTTTTTTTTTTTTTTTTTTTTTACAAGTTTGGGGTGGAGAAAATGAAAGCTCCAAGGATTTGAAAAGATTATCCAGAAGCCAGCCGGCACACCTGCGACAAGGAGCTGAACCAACCGAGTACCTATTTTGAGCGAGCTTGGCACTTGCTCTTCCCAACGAGTTGCATTGGCTCTTTTTTTAGCATTGATTTGGAAGACAATTTTTTGCCGTTGTGAGAGCACAAATGCCTTGTTCTGCTCAAAGAAGTAGTCACTGAAGTATCAATTTTAATATAAATATCTGATTTGGCACCTTTCGTTGTTTAGGCGGATTCATGGCGACAACGGGAAGTACGAGCGGCGTTTTCTGTATATCAGGGATGGCGCTCCATAGACCAGTGGTTCTGAATCATCATGGTTCGTAAGCCGGCAGAGGTGACGGAGGATCCCATCCGTAGTGGGTCTAGCACTTTTCGGTGTAGAGCGTCTTGCTGTAGGGCATTTCGGTGCGGACTTTTTGGTGCACAGACATTTCAGTGTGCGGACTTTTTGCTGCAAAGACTTTTCGGTGTGGGACTTTTCGGTGCGCGGATATTTCGGTGCACAGACATTTTGATGCATGAACATTCGACGCTATAGTTTGCCTCGCCGGTATCTCTTTTCCAACGTACGCAGACACGCTTCACATCGTGTTTGTGCGTTGAGTTGATAGCTGATAGTCTCCTCTATAAGGTTTTGGCTTTATTATTGGTCCTGCGTGTAGGAAACGACCCAAACAGCAAGACGTTTGAAGTTGTTTGTGTATTCAGAACAATTTTGAATATCTTCAAATGCGCCTCCTCCGCGTAATCGCATAGCTCCGATTGTTAATAATAAATTGTGATGACCTGGCACGACAAAAAAAAAACAAAAAAAAACAATGTAATTATCACTTGTAACTCATTAGGGAATAAAGTAGGCGTGTGCGGGTACAAAATAAGTGTAATCAAATCAAATATTGATTTGAATCAAGTAAGCAAGCCGAATTTGGTGAAAGCTAAATCTATTTTATTTGTTATCAAATGTTTGCTCATTCTCGTACAAAAAAAAACAACAAAAAAACAGTGACCACAGATCATACACAGAGTATGATCTGTGGTCAACGTCTCCTTCCATGCCGTAATGATGTCGCCGGACGTAAAGAACTGCCTTACAATCGTGCTTATACAGGGCGATCTTTTTTTTAACGACTAGACATTTTTCTAAAAAAGACGTCAGAGTTACGCAATTGCGGTTTGTTCCTTATCTGTAGTCATCAAAAACACCAAATCATTCATTTTTAAAGAGATGTAGTGGACGTGAAGTGGCTCACGGCGTCCTAAAAAGCCTAATTTGGACACGAATCGTGTTACCGCAATCTTTTCGGCCACCGCACTCCTACTCGCCCCTTCTACAGTGGCGTTGTCACAGCGATGCGTATGATTTGTCGCTTTGGCTTCATGGCGTTAGGCTGTGCCACGCGGAGATGGAGCCCACATAAAAGCAGAACTATATTTTCGCGCCCAAATTAGGAGGACGCCGTTTAATAGTGTACGCGCGTTACATCTTTTTAAGACAACATAACCAGGCATAATCTACAGATATTGCAGAATTCATTTTACAGTAAAACCTCGTTATAACAAAATGGGATATAACAAACTAATGGATATAACAAAGCAATTATAATTCCCCTTGCTTGCTAATAGTGGGAAGAAATGGACATTGGCTATAACAAACTAATGGTTATAACGAAATAATTACGACCGCTCCTTCAACTTTGTTATAACGAGGTTTTACTGTAATTGGCGTACAGCGCGAAAGACAAGTATGGACATAAAGAACACAATAGAGCTCTGCATTTCTACCGCATTTTTTTCCGTACTTGTGGACAGTTAGTCCGCATGACTATATTAAAAAACTGCCAAATCATTTAAACCTACCCCTTTTTATAGTTTTTTTCGTAGATGAATTGTGGCGAATCCCGGCTGGGTTCGGGTAAAGATCTCGCACGTGTTCAAGGACACATTTCGGCATGATTTTCCGCTTGGTGACGACGTTGAGCTGACCGCTGTTCCGCTTCTTTTCTAAGTAGGCGGGGAACGCCAGACGCCTAAATTAGCCAAGCAGCCCCAAAACTTGCGGTAGCACACCTTCCGAACTCCTGGGTTTTTTTGGAGATGGCCTTCGCCCACCCTGACAAAGCTCCAAACAATTATGTAAGGGCTGCAAAGGCTATCTGGGCATTCCATTTCTTCATCAGCGAACAAATGCGAACAGAAGAGAATGAAAACTTCGTAATACCTGCTGTCTTTTAATAAATGGCATAATATGCTACTA